ATTAAACTAAACGACTCAAAAAACACAACATCAAAATAGCATATTATTCATAGAGTTACAACATTAACCAATAGTTTAATCGTGAATAATAAATTAATTTCATGGTAAGATATTTTCATGGATTGGTTGAATTTAGACATTAAGACAGTTGGATACCGGCCAGTTGAGTGGTATATCGGTTAATTGTTCGTACACGAGACTGGTAGGTCGTGGGTTCGAATCTCGTGAGGCGGGATCGTGGATGTTCATTGCTAAGGAGTCCCACAACAAGACGAAACGGCTGTCCAGTGCTTCCAGATTTTTCATGGTTGTCTAGCTTTAATTGACTCATGATTTCAACTATGAAAATATTTTCAACCTAGTGAATAACAATTCCATTAGGATATAATCCATTTAAGATAAGCATATAGAGGTCAAATATTATTGTTATTTTAATAGCCAACATTATGACCTCCATGAGAGACCATATAAATGTTTACTGAGTCAGCGAATTTAGAGAAAGCTATTTGGAATAGTCAACTTAATGTAGCCAAATAAATGACAAGTTAAAAAGGAACGAAAAAAAGAAAAATTAAAATTAAATGAACGTCAATTAAATAACTCCAATTTTGTGGGGTCAGTTTTTTTTTTCGTTTTTTTTTGTTTTTCCGATAGACATAAAATAGTTGATTTGCTGTGACCGTCATTACTATAATAATAATAATAATAATAATAATAATAATTATTATTATTATTATTATTATTATTATTACCATCGAGATTATTAATTGGAGAGACAAAGGGAGAATTGACCTTAGTGACATAGAAATAGAAAAAAAAAGACCCGGGTACACATTTTATTAATTTTACTGATTCATAATAAAAATCATAAAAGATATAGGGTCATTTTAAATTATTTTAATTTATATTTTTATTATTATTATGATTTTAGTCATAAATTGATTTTAGCTAGAATATTATTGAAGGAAATAGGAAGTATTGGACAGTTGTTTTTGTATTTATAAACAGATGTTTACGTAAAAGATTCAACATTCATAGGTGGGATATCATCAGCAACATCGTTTTATGGGAGAGGACAAACTAGTTTCCAGCTGAAGAGGAAATTAGGAAAAGACGTTGAAAGTGGATAGTACGTACATTGAGGTAATCACCAAAATTCATCACGAGGCCATCCCCTACTTGGAATTGGGAAGGGAAGTGGAAAAGAGGGAAATAGAAGGAGATATGAAAAAGATGAATGTTAACTAGAAAGAAATGGAAGGGATTGCCCAGGACAGGATTGGATAAAGAATTCTGGTGGGGTAACAGATGTAAGGAAGTAGGCAAGGACAGCCGTTTAGTTCTAGAATGGAACTTTTCATCAACATGCTTCCAAGATCTCATTAGAGGAGATCGAACCTTGGCTTATATGTCTTTATGTTGAACATTCACTCAGGGACCAATATATTTTTTAATTGTGAACATTTTGGTTTTGACAATTTAAAGTAACAAATCAAACAGAAATGTAGGAAGAGAGGTGGATTGTTTCACACGAAAACCATATCCGTTAAATTATAAATATCCAGTAGTCTTTAGATAGGTTTCTGTATTGATTAGATTTAAAGTTAACCAAGCTATATCGGATATCAGTTCGTTACATATCAGTGATGATTAACGATGGTCAAACAATTTCGTGGATTAGCAGAAGTAGAAAAGCGAATAACCGAATTCTATTCAGTAGTCTCGAGGTATCCTAAACTTCACATGTAATAATGGCGAATAGTTGTGTCGAAACCAATATGATATATATGAGGTTGAGAGATGACGTAAACTCATTATGAATGGATAGAAAAAGACTAAAACAGGCTGCTAAGTAAGAGTTGTTACACCTAATAAAAATGATACATAAGTGCGAATATGAAACAAAATATTGAGCTCGAATATTCACTTTAAAATCACGCATGTTTAAATATGGCTTAAATTATCAAGGGTTATGTAATATAATTTATATGGACCGTTTGTATGATGGCGGTAATAAGAAGTCAAATGCAGGTGGCTTTAGAGGAATTCGTGTATCCAGACGGAGATTCAGAATAAGAAGCGCCAAAGCGAAGCGAAACGAAATGACGCGTGGTGGAGAAGGAAAGTGAGACAACTTAATTTAACCAAACATGAATCGATACTTATAGTCAAACAAAAATAAATCACAGACACATGAATAGGGTAAGTAATTAACATACACGCTCATATAAAACAGTCAAGGTTAATAAGCGAATAATTGACAAGATTAAAATGTGACTCAAGGAAAATGAGTAAATCGGTCTATCTGGAAGCTAGAATAACCCATATTGGCTTGACATGGTATTGGACACCACAGGATTTCTTTTTCTGAGCTTGATAGTTTGGTCAAGGAGCTTCACTGTTTCTTCTAATCAACCTCATTTGCAAAAACTTTAGGCAAAGGCGAGTTATTAGAATTTCTCCACACATGATAAACAGCTAGTTCTGCCAAATTTGTTCTTCACTGGTTATTGCCGTTGATCCTTACCCTGTCATTATCTGTATATCTATTCTAGTTGGCTTCCCATTCAACCTAGTTCTTGATCTTATGTCAATGGTTTTCGAAAGCGGTTGATAAACTGGGTCAATGTCATTATGTTAATTAACAAGTGACTGACCAAATTGTCAGTACGTTCCGGTTCGCCTTATTTGATAATGATGAAATGACGAGTTCACACCTTTGACTTGACCAGTAGTATGATTGAGGCTCTCAGTCTCTGGATCACTGGTCTTGAAACAATTGTAGATATTGATGGTCTCATTGAAGTTCCTTCAGTCTGTATTTTTTCGTTAATTTGTTAATTTGACTTAAATGTACATGTTTAGGCATAGATCAGGGAGTTATAAGAGACTTTAATTTGCAATGTTTGTGTCGTTGGTAGAAGCAGGGGAAAGTCTCCCTTGCTAACTTTCGCTCACTGACTTTGATAAGTCTATGACGTCAAAAAGTATCATCAGTTCGTTGTTGTCGATGTAAATGTATTTACTATCATACAAAAATTGTTTAGGATATTCAAATGAGTAATCGGATGAATCCATCTGATGATTCAATATTTATCGAATTCCTTTTCTTAGTTTTTATGTCAGAGTTTCATGAAGTAATACGGTTGGGAGTAGTAAAACGTCTGATTTGTATAGTTTTGGCCTATGGTAGTTTCTAGAGTGAACTGGTCGATTGGATTTCATTCCCTATTGTTTTTGTGCAGATATTTGTCTTGTCCTGCTAGGCTTCTTCAAAGACCTAGAGATCTGGTTATCCATCTTGTTGATTAGATTCGTGTCAATTTGTTCATATACGTTTACATTCTCAAGCAACTCCTCATCATTGTCTATAACTACGATGGCTTGTTCTTTGTCCTCTGAAACGATGAGAAATGTATTTCCAAGCTTATTTGGAGACCCTTGTTATTATGTAGTCACTAGAATGTGATCTTTTTTTCCGTCACAAGCACTACTATTTGTTTTATTTCCTGTTAAACCTAACATTTATTCCTGATATTTTAAGGGATAACACTAATATTTTGAAAAAACTACAGCTTTGAAACATTCTTTGTACTTCCCTTCACCCATTTATGGTGTTCTGTTACCTTCAGATGTCATTTATTTAATTAAAAATTAAATGCTTTGTCAACAGAGATGGTTGGTGACTTGCAGTGGAATCCAGGTTGTGCGTCCCGTCCTATTTAGGACTCATCAGCTGGATTTACCTACATCGCACAGTTGATGTTCACTCCAAGACTTGAACCCAGTACCGTTTGCTTCAATAGCTATCGATTTATTTACATGGTTTAAGGTAATATCGAGGCAATCTACACAGGATTTATTTACCCCAAATTTAGAATCGTATGATTCAAACTACTACTTACTTACTCATTCTCGTCAAATTTCAATTTATTCTCTTAACAAACATGGTAGCTTGAACAGATAGATCATAACACTTCTGCATATCTCTTTATTAGCGTTAGTTTTATTGTGTTTTTCTGATTTATATAATGAGAAATTCGATTGTTTCTAGTTTGTTAACTTGGCTACCTAATCTTTCCCTTTGTCTAGACCGTAGATAATGAATAACTTTTAAATAATGTCATAAACATAGATATTAATGAATTCCAGCAATAGGTTACTATTAATCAACCATAACGATCGTCATGTAAAGTACGATTTTACACTAAGTTTCTTAGTTTATACGTAAATGGAGTTTGTATTTCGGTTTAAAATATAACCTCTAAACATTTGCAACATTTAAGATGTTCCCTTGTATACATAATTAAGAAAATCAAAACCTAAAAAACATTAATCCTGTTTCCATACACCTACATACACACACAAGATTATCTGAATACCATTTATATCCCTTACTAGTAGGTTTATGTTTTATCTATACAATAGAAGAGATGTATAAAGTAAGGTGAGGAAAAAATGTCATCAGTACACCCATTTAAAAAATATTTGACAAACTTTCTAATGTACCAAACAAGTTATAAACAAATTCTGTTTTTGACATTTGGATTTGCGAGTTAACGTAAACTGGACCACCGGTGAAAATCACAAATCAATAAACAGCCGTTTCACTCTACAATGGGATAAGGAGAGTTCAATCCGTTTCGAATGTGAGACAGTTATACACCATTGCAATGGATGAAGGGTTCAACATGATCATGGATCTATTGCATTCGGACATCGCCACTATTAGATGTTTGGCCAGACACTATCAGCAACATTCTACTGTGGGAGTGAACAAACCAGATTTCAGTGGAGGAGGAAATAAGGAAGAAGCACTGAAAGTGGATACGACACATATTGATGAAATCACCCAAATGCGTCACTAGTCAAGCTCTCATATGGAATCCTCAGAGCCAAAGGAAAAGAGGAAGACCAAAGAACAAAATACGCCGAGAAATGGAAACAGACATGAGAAGAATGAACAAAAGTTGGGTGAAACTAGAAAGGAAGTGCAAGGACAGAGTGGGTTGGAGAATACTGGTGGGTGGGCTATGCTCAATAGTGAGTAACCGGCGTAAGTAAAGTAAAGAAGTCCCAAATAGGACGAGACGCGCTTACTGGATTCCACTTCTATCCACTATACATCTTTGCTTATAATTAATCACATTGTTTATAGTTATATCTAATTGAAATGCTCAAATGAATAGTTTCAATGATCATCATAGCATTGTTTGAATACGTTAGTTTTATTTCAATGATAAAATGATGTAAGTATAACTGAAATTAAACTAGTTAACTCTACTGAAAACTGTTTTTGTAAATTCTATTATAATTTTTATGTCTAAACGCATGTTGTCTATGTTCTATCATCATCATCATCATCATCATCATCATCATCATCATCATCATCATCATCATCATCATCATCATCATCATCATCATCATCATCATCATCATCATCATCATCATCATCATCATCATCATCATCATCATCATCATCATCATCATCATCATCATCATCATCATCATCATCATCATCATCATCATCATCATCATCATCATCATCATCATCATCATCATCATCATCATCATCATCATCATCATCATCATCATCATCATCATCATCATCATCATCATCATCATCATCATCATCATCATCATCATCATCATCATCATCATCATCATCATCATCATCATCATCATCATCATCATCATCATCATCATCATCATCATCATCATCATCATCATCATCATCATCATCATCATCATCATCATCATCATCATCATCATCATCATCATCATCATCATCATCATCATCATCATCATCATCATCATCATCATCATCATCATCATCATCATCATCATCATCATCATCATCATCATCATCATCATCATCATCATCATCATCATCATCATCATCATCATCATCATCATCATCATCATCATCATCATCATCATCATCATCATCATCATCATCATCATTGTCATTTCGTTGGACGAACAGTGTACTAATCAGTAACTATATAGAAAACAAATGATCCATCCATGACTTTCAAATTTAGTCAATTCACGGTAGAAAATAACTATCATTAAATAATTCTGGTTAGTGACTGTAACGTTTAGATTTACAAAATCAAAGAATTTTAATAGTACTCAGTTCACAATTTGTTTGCTGTTTACAAAAATTCCACGATACCTTTGCGTTATCTGTGAGATCACTAAGATTCTCACCGAAGAGCATCTAATCAAGATCAAAATTTGTTGCGTCTAATGTGAAAGCCTTAATAATTGAATTCACAAGTCAATCTAAGCTAATCCACCATTGAAAACCTAGAAGTAATAGACAGTCGTTTCCTACTACTATGGTATTCCTCAACAATCCGCATCCACGACTCCGTATGTCAGACCCAAATTCAACACTTCTGGTCTCATGCACTAACACTCGCTTGACCTCTAAATCACTGATCCAGTCTAACTGTGTTAATGTCTAACTTCAATCGATCCATGATCTTGTTGAATCCGGATTGGATTCCACTGATTCCATAGTAGGGTGAAACGGCTGCTTATTGCTTTGATGGTTTGACTGGTGGTCTCGTTTACATTGATTCGTGAATAAAACTGTGAAAATTACTACAGTCTCCACAAATCCCTGTTCTTGATAATAATCTGAAAATTTGTTAAATTAACAGGATTTTCAAGTGAAAAAGTTTTGTTGAATATACTACTTATATTAAATAGAAATAATAATATTTGTAAAATCTCAGCGAATGAATTTTAATTAAATCCAACGTTTCACCTGGTAATCTGGTCCAAGCTTTTTCAAGGAATTATAATTCCTGAGATTTTACAAATATATTATTCATATTTAATGTCTTACATCAACTCAGCGCTCAAATACTGTGAAACTATTCGCTCTAATTTAGACGAGAGTTCTTATATACTACTTATATTATTTGTTAACAAGCAATATATACATAATCTCATGAAGTTTGTTTATTAGTCTAGACAAGAGTTTAACTTTTGTTTACAACTATGAAATATCCAACAATTATTATCTTCTATATAGATCAAATACAAATTTTTAGATGGACGTTCAGCATCATAGGATACAATTTTTTCAATGAATTATCTAATTATGTAATCTTTTCCAAAAATATTTGACGTTAGGAAAAATGAGAAAAAAACTGATTGGTTGATTTGTAGGCTGAGTCCAACAACACATCACATGGAAATTGTTAAATTGAGATTTTGATAAGTTGACAAAAAAATAATTTCTTACCTAATTTAGGTTAAAAGGAAGCTAACAACATTGGCAAAGAAAAAAAATATGTAGCACAGTGTTAAAGGTATTGCCCTTTGTGAACTGGATAATTTGAATGAGAAGCTTCATGTTATATCCTATTGAAGACACAAATAAGGGTAACTTCCAGGACCTATTAATGGACTTTTATTCTATATATATTCTTATGGTTTAACTATTGAGTAACTAGATTGTGTATATCTATATTCATCTTATTATAAGTTTCATTTTGACCTGTGAATTATTATTATACGATTTACTGTTCCTAAATTATATTCAATTTATTGATTACTATCTCCTACGTTCATAGCCACATTTGGCTTGATCATGTACAAATATTTTTTTTCTATTTCATGATGTGATGTGGTCTGTCTGTCTGGTATATAAACCGAGTATGCTTGAAATAAATGATTCTCATAGCAGAAGCTGTTTTGAGTGTTGTGGACTCAACTGGAAGGGCTAGGCGGAGAAAGGACTCATAAGGACGCTAGGCTGCTTATACCGGTTTAACGTCATTGGTCTGGCATAGTGCTAAGATTGGAAAATTCGTATTGCGATTTGTGGGTTAATCACGTGATAAAATGCCTGGCTTAAAATCACAACAAATTGGCGTCGGCCTTTTAAATTCATAACACTTTCATAATCATTTTCGAAAACATACTCAGTATGAACTGCAAAATGAAGTAAGCTTTTAGGATTTCTTTACAATTGACTGACAGTCTGTTCTGTTGATTTGGAATTCCAATTATTTGTTCCCAAACTAAGTGAGATTTATTTGTGTTTATTTCGTTTTTTTCTATCCTCACCTGAACTATGATCTTGGAGTTATTTATCATTTTTATTATTGGCCAAACAATTTGTCAATCACTTGTGAAGTACGTACTGATGGCTTTATCTAGAAGGAGACTGAAGACTTTGGAACGAAACCATTTAGTTTTTAGAATGCAACATCCTCAACATCCTCATCATTAGCTACATAAATTCTACATCATCTCTACATAGTATACTTTAGCGTAAAAGATTAGATAGAAGGTTATTTATCACATTAAATAGCAACTGACATTAAAAAGAATTTACAGATCACGAAAATTATTTCAGAAATTGCGTGTCCACCCTTTTTTTTTAAACGAACAACTGTATAGATGTGACCATCGACGTACGAAATAAAAACGCACAAATTATTGATCTCGCAAATTATTGAAAATGTTGGAATTGTTGGAATTGCTAAATTTCACAGTTGACATGAAGTACTGATCTTAGTTAGAGGTATTTTGTTCAATTACTGATAGGGATTTTAGTTCCCAATAGTGGCGAATAACATACTATGACGTACCACCTCGTTTTCATTGGTTGTTTAGTTGTAATCAGTGCATTATGTAAACTAGGAAGTTTTTAGTTTTTCCGGATTTCAAAAGGTTAAATATCTGATTCAACGAGTAGTTTGTAGAATAACTTCATTTCAAATTAATTGTAAATATCTTTTTTATTTAGAGACGGCTCCCATCGGACTCAAAAAAAGTTTCAAGAAGCTCGGAAAGAGGCAAAGACATTCCATCCATTCGTCTTTTGGAAGACAATTACAGAATCTGGACGTGTAGCTTCCCGAATAAACAAAAGCTAAAAACCATTGTTTGCGGATTGATCGACGATAATGACGATTTCGCTTATACTAAAAATCATAAATATCTGAGTGTTTCGAAACACGTTCGACACTGTTTTGAATAAGATTCCTCCCCATTAGTCTTCAGCCTTTTAAGTTGTGACTTGGATGGTTCAAGTATTTGAGTGCTCAAGTTGTATGCAGCATAGCAAGAAAACAAGTTCTAGATAAAACATTTCAACAGTAGTATGATAGTGATTAATTATCTAAACTATTGAAGTTCTATAGGAAAAAATAGTATGGTCAATATAAATTAAGGTGTTAATGCATCTGAATGAAACAAAAGTTTAAAGCACGCAGTCAATGTAGGTTTCCTCAATATTTTAGATATACCTTAACAAACTGACCAGCTTACCACAAAATTCAGATTCCAAACTCATTATTAGTTACCTCCAAACACCGTACTTCCATTTATATCAGAATCATGACATAAGCAAATTCATACAATTTTGTTTAATAAACTAGAAACACTTACTGAGATAGATAGTGGCTAGCAGTGGAATACAGGACGCGCGTTTCGTTCTATTTGGGACTCGTCAGCTGGATGCACCTGCATCTCAGAGTTGATGTTCACTCTGGGACTCGAACCCAGTACCCTCGCTTCAAACGCCATCGCGTTATCCACTCGGCCACTGAGTCCTGATAGCCACTTGCTTGTGCGATGGGGTGAAGTTTGAATTCCCTTAGTATTGTTTGCTTGGATCTTCCCATCGATGTGTTTAGGACTGCAACTGGTCAGTCTCTTATTGGCATATGTGCATACTGTGCGTATTGCCTCGATATACCTTAATTCACAAGCATGGTAAGCAGAGATGGATAGTGGATAGCAGTGGAATCCAGGACGCGCGTTTCGTCCTATTTGGGACTCGTCGGCTGGATGTACCTGCATCTCAGAGTTCATGTTCACACCCATCGCACAAGCAAGTGGCTATCAGGACTCAGTGGCCGAGTGGATAACGCGATGGCGTTTGAAACGAGGGTACTGGGTTCGAGTCCCAGAGTGAACATCAACTCTGAGATGCAGGTACATCCAGCCGACGAGTCCCAAATAGGACGAAATGCGCGTCCTGGATTCCACTGCTAGCCACTATTCATCTCTGCTTACCATGCTTGTGAATTAAGGTATATCGAGGCAATATGCACAGTATGCACATATGCCAATTAGAGACTGACCAGTTGCAGTCCTAAACACATCGATGGGAAGATCCAAACAAACAATACTAAGTGAATAGAAACATTTACTGTTTAAACATCAATAATTCTCTCAGGAATGAGTGCATGACACTATGGATAATTTACATTTACATTAAATTGTTAAATCAGCTGCTTCGAAAGTTTTTCTCAACATTCTGTACCGCAATCTGTTATATGTGTCTTTTTTTTTAAAAAAAAAGAAAACATTTGAGAAAGTTATGGTTCGATCATTTTAATCGAACTTCCTAATTTGTATCGAACTCATTCAATGTCAGTTTCATTTTAACAAAACATTCCAAAACATGTACAGTATAAGACATAGAATTACAGTAGTTTCAAAGTACTGGATAATATACACATTGTTGATTAGTAGAATAATGATAAGATTGAATGTGAATAAATTCCATTTACGTCTAGAGTTAGTAATTATAAAATAATTGCTACGAAGATTATAAGCACAGATAGATAGTGACTAGCAGTGGAATACAGAAGACGCGTTTCGTTCTATTTGGGACTGGAGTTGGGTGTACCTGCATCTCAGAGTTGATGTTTACTCTGACATTCGATTTCAGTACCTTCCTCTTCAAACGCCATCGCGTCATCCACTTAGCTACAGTGTCCTAGTAGCCACTTGCTTGTTCAATCAGTTCGAGTCCCAGAGTGATGATCAACTCAGAGATGCAATTACATCCAGCTGACGAGTCCAAATAAGGATGAAACGCGCTCCCTGGATTCCACTGTTAGCCACTATCCATCTTTGCTTATAACGCTTGTGAATAAGGACTATACTGAGGCAATACGCACAGTATGCCCATATGCCGATATGAGACTGATCAATTGCAGTCCTAAAGATCAATGGGAAGATTCAAAACAAACAATACCAAGTGAATTAGTTGCTACGAAGTTTGTAAAACACAGGAAATGTAAATAAGATGAACAAAATCATGAAGACGGCATTTTCATATTATACAGATTAGTAGAACTTAAATTACGAAAGTAGAACATTCTTTGACTATTAAGAATTCATAGTGTGATAATCTAATGAGCACCACGTCATCTCTGTTTTTTTCCTAAAAAATTAAAATAC